TGTTCAATCCCTTGTTACGAAGAGTTATTGGGAGCGAACCGCTAGATGTTTAAGAGAGAGTGTCAATCTTAAATCGAACAATTAATATCTCGATTTTGCGAATAAAACTTGAATTGATTATTCCCGATTCCCTAGCTTCTCCATCCTTATTTCGTTGATATTTTTAGGTAGATTGTTGCTTTATTTTATTTCTTAGCTAATAAATATTTAATCCCTTATTTGATTAGAGTGTTTAGGATTTATTTTTCATTTTTGTGTTATCGATACCAAACCTAAATTCTGAACCGCCCTCCTCGTGAGATCAACCCGGTAAACGAATCTTTCGATTCGGTACTTGGTAAAAAGAATAATTTGTACACAACAATAACTCTAGTTTGTTATTGAAACAAATCCGGTTAGATAAATAATTAATTATTTAAAATATTATATTAATTATATTTTAAAAATATAGTTAGATAAATGTGGATAAAAAAAATATTACATTAATTAGTTTGTTAGGAATGTGATTATAGTATACATATGGCATTGCACAAAATTTAATAAATCATGATAAATAAATTAATTGGGAAAAAAATATTAAAGGTTATTATTATTATTATAACAATATTTACGTGGTTGTTTGAATTTTTTATGCTATTTGTTGTTATATGAATACAAACGTGAAGTGGAGCAGTGAAGTAGGAAGTGGAGTTTGTTGTGATTCTCCGGTTTGCGGGTGGTTGGGTGGTCTACCTGGTGAGGGGTCGAGTTTTTTTGTCTCAGATCTGGTTAGGCGATTGTTTTTGCAGTTTCTAGTTTTTTGCCTTGGACCAAGTCTCTCGCTTTGTCGGTGGTCGCTTAGGAGTGTCGACATCGTTGGTGTTCTATTTGGTTTCATTGTTGTGGGAATGACTCTCGTTTATTTTGTTTGTGTTTTTTAGTTGTGGTTGTGTTTGTGCGTGTTTTTGTTTTGTAGATTGTCTTTTGTTTTCTCCTCTTCGTGAGTTTTGTGTTATTACCCTGTGGGGGTTGTCGTATTCTCCTTCGGGGAGTTTGTGTATTCTCCTGTGGGAAGTTTTATTTTTTATGTTTAGTCTTGTAGTGTGTGTTGTGGATTCTATACTGCCTAGTGTAGTCCTCCCATTCCGGCTACTCAGTCGGCTGTAATTATGTGTTTTAGTTTAATGAATCTATTGTTTTAGAATATATATATATATATAAACGTGAAAATTAAGCGTAAAGAAAGATGAAAATTTGCTGGATTTGTACTAATTTCAAGTCGGTTTTTGAGTACAGGAAGTCAGTTTGCGTGAAATCGAGTTAATAAATGATTGTACTTAATGTGTCGTGAGGAGATCCCCGTACAAAAGTAAATGTGACTATTTATAGTATTTTTGGCTCGTCTTTTGAGGTAGATTCGGCGGCATTAAATGAGTCGACCTCGTAAGGACGGCTACTATATATGGGTGCCCATACGTAATGATTAGGGCATGTGCAACCGGCGGCTGACTGAAAGGTGTCTTGTCTGTGTCGGCTTGACCTCGGTTTCAACTGGAAGTCGGTCTCACACATACATCTGATAAATATACACGGATATGGAGAACAAAATGTACAAGAATTTTCAAGTAATAAAGGCCGATACGCTCCCATTTTTACTTGTGATTTTTAATAAATGATTATAGGATTGAATTAATTTTCTTTCGTTAATTCCAACAAATGTTTAATTAATCGATAAATCAGATGAAGGCCAACAAAGGATTCCTACTTTGAACTCTTTCGTGGGTAAGAACTAAGATGTCATATATTTTGCATGTGTATCCTACATAGTACCTTTTTCAAGGTTAAATAAATAAGTAAAAGAAGTGAAATTGCTAAATTTGGTTTTTGTATGACTATTAGTCTATGAGATTCTTATTAATAATATTAATATGATCAATTTTTCTCTGCACTTCGTCCGATTGTATTTCTCGATAAATGCGGGTTGAAATCTCTAGTGAGATTCTTATATAATGACATGAGGCATTGATTATTAAAATGTAAAAGAAGTTAAATAAATCCTAAATACTCATATCACAAATGTTTAGATAAATTTAATTAACTAGGAATTATGACGAGCATATATAAAAATAATAAAAGTAATCGAATTAGAAATGAAAATAAAGGATTAGAAGAACATCGGGGTCACTGAGACAAATGAACAAACACATGGTGATCAATTTAAGCAACTAAATTGATCATACTCCTAATAATCCTCATAATAGTAATAATAGATACTGAGCCCTACATTTGCCAAATATGAAATAAAAATCACAAAATCCCATGAACGAAATTTAATCAGGCCAACTAAGGGCTATAAATAAACCAGGAACGAAATTTGAATCCTCAATTGGAGGGGGGCTGTGAATGCTTCGATTTTTTCCTGCTTCCTCCTTCGCCATATCGCTCGTTCCATTCCCTCAGCTCTACCAAACTGCTTGATTCACAAGCAACCGAGGCCCCAACCTGCAAAATTATTCATACACAAGTGTATGATACATAAACTGACTGTTTATCCCGACTAATAAAAGATTAGTTGTTCAAAAAAAAAAAATTTTGTTGCCAAGTGTATGAATGTATAGGCTGATATAGCTTTACCCTAACCTCACAGATACTAATCTATGCATGCACAGAGTTTGTTACGATTTCTATAGTTTCAAATGAATTTACATACCGCGGCCTTGGAATTAATAAAGTCATCTAGCTTCAGTTGTCTTAATGCCGGAGTTCCATCTGTCTTGTCACCCTGTCAATCGATAATAACCACAAAAATGTATTTAAGGAAAAAATATATAACAATAATAAACTATATTAAACACCACTATCTATATCAATATATGTCATCAAGCAACAGAAGACAAATGTCGAACATTCCATAATTTCAACGGTAATATATCATCCATTAACAGAAAAATCTTGGAAGTACTAGAATAGTCATATTAGATCATTATAGAGTTTACCTTGCTTTCTTGTTCAAGTATTTCTTGGACAGGCCTATATGCAGCCGCCACGCAGAGATTCTGGGAAAAATTAAAAGGAAAATAAAAAGACAAAGAATCACAAATCTTAGACATCAGTAGGAATCACAATATCTATAGCCAATAATGCAAACTCGATGCAAATTTACCTTTAAGTCGCTCCCGGAATACCCTTCAGTAGCCTCTGCGAGTTTTTTAATATCAAACCCAGATTCCAGAGCCTCTTTGGCAAGAAGTATCTCCAATATTTTCAATCTATTTTTCACATCTGGTAGGTCAACATGAATCCTACGAGCAATCAAGGATATTCTGTCAGGCCCAACATTCATGTCGATAAATCAAAATAACAAAATTGCAGAGCAGAAAAAATTAACTACGTTTCAAATGTCACATATGGTGACCCATTGAATAGCCAATCATACCTTAGCCTAGACCACCTATATGCAAAACCCCTGTTTAACTAAGGTATGTTCAATCAGCTATGGTGACCGATTGTTCTGATTCCACTCCTTGAATTTCCTTTAGGACTTGATTATAATTAACTGATTAGTTACACTGATTCATTCTTTATTTCAATGCCCTAATCGTTACCTCCACGTAGAGAGAAGTTCTTTCAACAATAGGACTAGAGGTAAGTAGAAGGAAAACTTCCTAACATTCCATTTTTCATACAACAACAACAACAACAACATACCCAGTATATTCCCAACAGGTTGGGGTCTGGGGGTCAGTTGTACGCAGACCTTACCCTTGTAATTATACAAAGAGGTTGTTTCCGTAGCGACCCAAGGTCCATTGCATCGTTTGGTATATTTTTTTTCTAAAGACTTCACTAACATTCCATTTTTAATAACACCAAATATCTGCCATTTTATATTCTTCATAAAGCATAGGTAATAAAATTCACTATCCAAGGAATTCCAATCCCCTAGCTTCTTGAAAATAATCACACACACAATATGTCGCATTTATGAAAATACGTGCACTCTTCTTGCATAAACAATAAATGTACAAATATTTTGACTCGTACTAGAATTGTACCTTCTTGGCATGCGGCGAATGACAGCATCATCAAGGTCAAAGGGCCTATTTGAAGCACCAAGAACAAGTATTCTTTGGCTGTCATTTGAAGCTAATCCATCCCAAGCTGACATAAACTCATTCTTCACTTTTCTGGAAACCTCACTCTCATATTTACCACGAGCCCCAAGCAAAGCATCAATCTGCCCACAAAAGAATCAAATACAGGTTTTATATAATCTATTAAATTATAATCCATGCATCCCACGGCAGCGAGTGCAAATTTATTAGTCAAATAAAAATGATTACAAGGGTGTAAATATACTTGTAATTTATTCTGAGTTGGATTTCTCTTCTAAGTTGAGTTGCCTAATTCAATTTAATTCAATTTTACATATGGAAGAGCCCTTGCCAGCTCAAGTGCATTTGTTTGCTGCTGCACAAGTCAAATTAATTAATTATAGCTTTAACCTGGAGTGAATTCACATAAACAAAAATTCAAATCAGTAGGACATCAGTTAGAGAGATAGAGAGAGGTGAGAAGAGAGCGAAGTTCGAATGTATGGTTTGTGTTTCCAAATGCTCATAGGGTTCGGGAATACAAAGCAACAACACTCACCTCATCCAAAAAAATAATTGAAGGAGCCAACTTGACAGCCAAGGTGAATAGTGCCTTAGTAAGATTTTCCGATTCCCCATACCACTGCACCAAAAGCAC